GGTGGAGGGTCAGAGAAAAAGAGGAAGACCCCCAGAAAGATGGGTTGGCAGAGTGGCAACATCAGTGGGCTCAAGCGTGGCAACAATTGTGAGGTTGGCCCAGGACCAGGCAGTATTTCATTCTGTTGTGCCTAGGGTCTCTATGAGTCAATACCAACTCGATGTAACCCAACAACAACAACAAGAAATACTCACAGTTATTCAATGGGGGAAAGGCCACGCCTTCAGACAGAAACAAATATGGCGAAGGTGTTCCACACATGCTCTGCCCACGCTCTCTGCTGACAAGGTCATACTTGCTTTTCAGTGGGCCAGCCCCTGGGCACAGCCTTCAGCATTTTATACTTAAATGTACTGGATCACTCTGATAACTTCACTAAATACCAAACCCACCGCCAGTGAGTGGATTCCATCTCATAATGACCCTCTGTAGCGTTTCTGAGACTGAATTTTTATAGGAGCAGGCAGCCTCATATTTCTCCTGCGGATGGTGGGTTTGAACTACCAACCTAACCCACAGCACCCTCAGAGCTCCTTAACGCCATCAAATAGATTCTGTCATTATTTTCCTTATACTCAACTGAGGCTCAGATAGGTTCAACGACTTGCCCAGCAGCAAATGCCACTGCATTTTACTGCCATTTGGCTGCGACTTCTGGTATACCAGGTGTCATGCTCAAGACACGGAGCTGGAGTCTGACCCCTGCGGTGGTGGTCACACTGTGGAAAGGAAAAGGTAGTGCCATGGGCTAAGGTCAGCTCATATGGGTCCAGAGGTTCAACCACCAGGAGGCAATAGGACACGGGGCATCTCCAAGAGTGGCTGGGTTGGTACAGAGGCCTTCATCTGTCTGTTCTGATATGGAAGGATGAGTTGGGGTCTTTGGTTTCATTTCCTGCCATTCCCAGGAGAGGAATGGGATCTGATGACAGATAGTTTCCTTGTCTCTGATTCGAGCCTAGCTTGCTCACCACTGGTCCCCAGACATCCCTGGAACCACTATTCTGTTGGCGAGTGGTCCTGTGTGCAGCCATAGTGAACCTCAGGCCTGGAGGTCCTTCTAAGACCTCACTGTAATGAAGAAAGATCTAAGCAGAAAGTCCCTAACCCCTCGGCTTCCAAAGACTCAGAGAATACATCCAAAGTCCAGATGGGCTTTGCCCTACCTGAGTGTGAGATGGGTCTGCCACACATAACTGTTGGGATGATATTGAGGTTGTCACCACAGCTGAACTCAGGCAGAAACCAAACTCCCAATTGGACAGATGGCAGAGAACATCTGGATCAAGCATCAAAAGGGGCAAGGACAGGCTGTATGAACCCAAGTGCTTGACACTAATGGGCTTTCCATGCCCTGGCAGCTGGAACCTGCCCTGTGTCCAGAGCCTCCCTCCGTTGGAGAATCCCCACAGTTGGTATCATAGGGGCAGTGGGCGCTGGGATACCAGTCTTCTTTGGGAGTCTGGGTTTGTTTCTATGTTGATTCCTTTCCAGATTCAGGTATGTCTTTAAAAGTTTTTCACCCTTCTTGAGGTGGAGCAAAGGAAGATGTCTCTGTCCATGGGCCCTGGGCAGGTCTGGCCTTGTCCTGAACCCACATCATCCAGTGAAAGAGCATACACTAGGCTGACCTCTAAAAGGGGGTAGCTGATTAAGTAAGGGGATCCAGGCCTCAAACATGGAGGGCAGGGCATGAAGGACACGGCCCAGTCAGATCTTTGCTCATGATAATACCCATCAGACCAGCTCTCCTTAGGCTTTGAAAAAAGGAACACGGAGAGGAGCTGCTTGTTGGTAGCAAGAAGGTTCTGTAGGCACCCAACAAAGCCTTCGCATTAACCTCTTCTTACTTGAGAGTGGACACAGAGGATCACTGCAATTTCTACTCCATATTTAAGAAAGGGAATTAAAAGAGGGGTCAGTGGGACCCTCAGGGGCCAGCATGGAAGTGGGAAAGGGGATCCGAGGCTCATCCGTGAGACCTGAAGGTCAGAACCATCATTCATGACAACCCACCTCTCTTTTTTGCTCCTCCTCCTCAGTTGGTGTGTTATGGGTCTGTTCAGCAAAGGTGGTATGTCTACATTTTAGTGTTGGGAACACCATACCTGTGAACACTGGGGACCTGAGTCACCCCCATATGATGAGTTGAGGGTTAGAAGCTGTAGCTGGGGGTGGGGGTGGGGGGCAGGGTGGGAGAACCATGGAAGAAGAATAGTTTGTGATCTTTTTCGCCACAACACCTGGCCAACAAAAGCCAGGTGTGACCAGAGAGATCAGAAGGGGACAGGGGAGGCGCTCCAGGTGGTATCTCAGTCAAATAGGATCTGCATTTTCACAGGGGAGATTAGACCTGCTCACCTAGCTTCCTGAGTTTGGACTGGTGGGAGCTCTAATATCAGAGAACCCATCTTGGATACTGAGCCATCCTTCCAGTTGAGTTCAGTTTGGTGTTGGGGGCACCTAGCCTGGCAGGGAGGGAGTGGGAAAGTAGGGTGTGGCTTAGTGGTGGCTACCCCCAGGATGACAGCCTTTTCCAAGCTCCTGCCTGGGAGGCTGCAGGTGGTTCCTGCCACCTATACCACGTCCCCCGATTCCATGTTGTACGTATGACTCATAGAGTCATTCATAGAGGCCCTATGTATAACAGGACAAAACACAGCCCCATTCTCACAATTGTTGCTGTCTGAGTCCACTGTTTTAGCCACTGTGCTGACCCTCTACCTGAGCAAACATGATGACCTTCTCTAGGGACTGGTCCCTCATGACAACAGGTCCAAAGTCCATTCCTTAGGTCAATGAAGCTACTGTGGTTTCTACCCCAGGAGGCAGAGGTGGGGAGAGGGGATGATCTTAGCTCACTTGTCCAGCTGCTTGTGAAAGGTCCTGTTGCCATGACCTAACTGAAGTGCTGAAGCTGTAGGGATTATTTTATTGAAGGAGGACAAAAGAAAGCCTGGTCCTTGGATACAGTAGACCTGGGACATTTCTCCAACTGTTCCTGGCAGATGGGCTGGCTTCTGAGGCCAGTTGATTCTTTAGACTCAGATCTGGCCAGACTTGACAAGGTTCCAAGATTTTACCTTAAAGCCAGTTCCAAAGGTGGAGGCAGCCTACCTGTCTAGCAGTCCATCTACTCTGGTTTCCAGTATCCAAGGGTCTCCTAAACCTTTCAGAGTCCCTTCCAGCAACAGGGCCAGGCCCAACTAGAGCTTTCTCCAGAAAAGGGGTTTGAAAGCAGTCACAGAATCTCTGGTCAGTACCAAGGACTTAAGGGGATAGTCTGTCATCCAACCAGGACTCTCTTCCCCTGAGATCCTACGTTACCTGGAGAGGAAAGTCTGGCTGGTGGCTAACCGTGGAAGAGCAGAAGCAAAGGAAAGTGAACAAAGCCCCCTGTAACCACAGGTGCCAGTGCCCGGCTCCTAGGTGCCAGGTAGAGTGCATGACCACCAAATTCCAGCATGGTCCATACTTGCTTCCAGTAACGGAGCTATCAAGGAGTCCAGGTGGCACCGTGGGTAAGCAATGGGCTGCTTATCCTCAGGAGCAAGATTTACAGCCTTGGAATCCCTGTGGGGCATTTTTACTGTATCCTGTAAGATGGTGATGATGATGGTGATGGTGATGGTGATACCATCTCTAAATAGCATAGGAAGTCCTCAAGGATAGGTCTATCACTAGAAATTCTTGGTACTCTAATATGGCAGGTGGACCCACACAGCTGTTTCTGCCCAGCACCTGGGTTGCAGACTAAGCAGTAACCCCTAATAAACGCCTGCCCCTGGGAGGTGGGGGAGGGGAAGGGGGTAGGTTCCCAGCCGGCCTCCCCCAAAGGCCTTTCTCCCTGAAGCTTAGGGCTGAGCAGGTGGGGAGGTGTATGTAACTCGAGCCCACGAAGATTTCTCGGTCCTTCCTCCAGGCTTTTATTAAAGTAGGGCGGGGAAAGACAAGCTTCCAGCGGAAAAATCTCCCAGGCAGCCCAAGGAGGTGGGAAGCTGCTGGGGGTTGGAAGGGAGTGCCCGCCGGCTGCAAATAGAAAAAGCGCTCAGGCCCGTAGCAGCCCAAGGGCAAAGGAGTGCCTGATTCTCAGTAGCCTGGCACAGAGGTGGCCCTCTGGCGTCTCTTGCCCTTCTTCCCGGATCAGTCCCCTCCTCCCCTGTTGGAGGTAGAGAGCAGGGTCTTAGAAGTCCGAGAGAGAATGATCCCGATTTTGCACTGGGTCTGCGGAACTGCAGCCCTTACTATTATTCTGTTCTCGCTCGTGAGGAGGGAGCTGGGCGATCCCAGTGAGGCGGGGACGTTACCCAGACCCGGTTCTGCACCAGGAGATCACGCCTGGTCATCCATGAGACCGATTTAGAGAAGGGACTTGTGGGGACTTCAGGAGGGCTCCCCGCGAAAGTAGAGCAGAATGCGCCCTCTATAATCTGGCCTGGTGGGCGGAAGCGCGGTCTCTTCCTTAGACCCCCCTCTCGGCCTGGCTTCCGTGCAAGAACCTAAGAAAGTAGCCAAAGCGCCCCTGACCCCGGTGTATGCTGCCTTAGCGGTTTGTTCTTGTTCCCCATGAGTGGCTGGGTGTCGCCCATCCCAGAGGGTATTCGGCGGGGGCACCGCCCTGCTCCGTCTGTGTTCCCCCCATCAGCCCCGCTTCCCACTTGTAAAGAATGCCATTGCGCGCCCGCAGATCTCTCGAAGAATCAGCTGCCGGGAGGAAAGAAAGGAGGAGAGGGCTGGCGGCGGGAGTTGCTCTCCTGGCAGGGTCTGGGTCTGTGTTCAGAGCAGAGCTGTTCGGGCAAAAAACAGGCGCAAGCCCTACGCCCTCCAAGGTTTGGAAAGAGGTGCGTCGCGCTGTTCTAGCCTGAGAGGAGCAGCCGCCCAGGTCCCTTTTTCCTGCCTCGCCCCTCCCCTTTTATACAAGGAGCTCCTCTTCACCACCTCTACGCCAGGCAACAAGCGTACACCCCGCAAAGTCCCGGGGCAAGGCGGAGGTCCTTACCTCGGCGTTGACTTCAGCATCTTGCGCCGCTGCGCCTCGGCCCAGGCAGCCCAGAAGCACCACCAGTAGCGGTAGCAGTCGCGGCCGTGCCGCCGCCTCCTGGCCACCGAGGAGGCTGTCAGCCCAGGTTGTCCGCCCGGGCGCGTTCCGGTCGCTGCCCATGTTCTCTGCGCTTGGCCCGGCCAGGTGCACTGCACAAGGGGCTAGCTCGCGAACGCAGAGGCCCCGTGCACGGTTCGGAAACTTGAGACGCTCCCTGGCTCCTGGCCCCGCGGGTGCGCGGCGGACCTCTGGCTCCTGATACCGATCCCTGCAGAAGCCGCTAAGGCCCCCTCGGCCAATTCCCAAGTCTGGGGAGAAGCAGGCAGGACAGTCGGGGAGCACGGAGTGGGTCAGCCGGTAAACGTGCAGGCTGGAGTCTCCCTCCAAGGGGTCTCGCTGCCTTGGCGCCTAGAGCTGGGGGCCCGGCTCCTGAGAGCGAGCGCAACTCCAGAGCCTTTGTCTGGCTCAGCGCTCCGGCCGCCCGGTCCCGCGGCGCCCCCTGAGCGCCCAGCTCCCTCTGTCCATGCCCGGAGTCAGGCGCTGCCCTGGGCGCGCGCCTCCTGCCAGGGGACTCTGCTCGCGGTCGTGCCGGAGCGTTGTCCGGGGAGGAGACGCAGGGAGCTGGCTGGAGCCAGCCAGCGATCTAGGGAGTCGGCGCCCGACGTCCCCGGCGAGTTCGGCGGCTCGGGGCGCTCCTGGCCCTCCTCCCCGCACGCCGCGACCGAGGCCGTTCTTAAAGGGCCAGTGCGCTCCCAGAGTAAGGACTACCGGGCGCGGTCCGGGGTCTAGGGGCGGTCCCCCAGCCAGAGGCTTCCTGGTAGCAGGTGCCAACAAGGAAGCCCCGGTAGGCGGTACTGACGGCGGGAAATGTTCCCAGCCCGCCCCCATCACCCCCAACCCTGCTTCTTGGGGAAAGGAGGGGTGACCTCCAGCGCGATCCCCGTTGGAGGGAGGATGGGCAAGGAAGGATGGTCTCCCTTCTCGGGAGGAATAAAGATTGTTTCTGCCACCTGGTGAAAAGATACGGGGGTGGGTTGGTGGGGAGAGACGGGAGAGACTCAAGTGTCTTAAAAAACAAATAAAATCTAGAAATTGTTGGCCCTATTGAGTGCTCTATTTAAAAGCCCCTGAGTGTGTTTGACTCTTCAGTGACGTTCCTTAGTCTCAAAGTGAGCTTGAGGGGTTGGCTAGGTGGTGGTTGGGGCGGGGGGAATGCCTCAAGGCGAGTGAGAGAGCAAGAGCTCAGGACCCGGCTTGAGGTCCGTGTCCGCATGGACTTGGGCAAGTTCCTTAACCTTTTATAGCCTCTCTGTGCACCTCAGAAACGTGCGGCAAAGGGCTGGGGTGAGGCTTTGACCAGGCTTCGAGCTCCCGGCCCGGCACACAATAGGCGCCCAACCAGAGGCAACTATATTGTGCAAGTGAAATGCAACAATGCAGCCGGGGAAGGCGCAGGGCCGGCGGGCAGACCTGCCAGCGGAACTTATACTAGATTTAATTCTGTTCTAGGAACAGTTTGAGAGGCAGCTCGATGTAGCTGCAGGAGACTCGGCCCGAGGTCCGGAGGTGGGGGTCCGGTTCCACTGTTCGCGGAAGAAGCACAGGCTCGGTGGCTAACCTGCTGGATCGGGAGGTGGGGACTGCGGGGCCAGAGGGCGGCGACCTTCTCTCTTCTCCTTCCCTTCCCAGCGCCGGAAGTGGGAGCTTTCCTTACCTGAGGGTTTTTGTTGTGGTTTTTTTTCCCCCCACAGCTGGATTCACCTACCGGAAATCGGCGGAGCGTTTTAGAAAGGACCTGTTCAAACCGACCAGCGAACGCCGACGCGGACCTTACCCTGAGGCTTGGCAGAGAATTTTTAAAAAGCTGGGGCAGTTTCATTCGTTTCTACCGACTAACTTCTATGTTAGGTCGGTGGTACAAACCCATCAGCCGCTCCTCGAAAACCTTACACAGCGTCGCTATGAATCGGAACCGACTCCACGGCATTTAATAACAACAACTTGCCTCTGGGGTCCCCATTTGGGAAATGAAGTTTTAAAATTCTTTACTTTGAAATTTGCTTCAAGAAATTGTACAATGGTTGTCAGTAATGGACAACCGTGTTTCTCTATTTAATTGAGTGCATTATACAGTCTTTCACAATACGAGGAGACTTCGAAAAGTTCGTGGGAAAATTCCGTTATCTTTAAATTCCATTTTCCTACGAACGTTTTGACGCTCCCTCTATAAAGGTTGGGTTTCTGGGGCTGTTCGGCCAAGAGGGAGCCCAGGAAATGTAAACAGGATTCTTGGAGGCCTGTGGTCAGACACGTTTGGCACTTGTTTTCTCTTCCGTTAGAAGTTCCCCTGTGGCCACACCTTATAGTTTCCATTATCTGCTTTGGTCCTTACAGGTAACCCTGGGCATCAAGGTGAGCTTGTGGTCAGAATGCACCACTCGTTAAGGTTACTGAGTTTCTCCCTTCTGGCAAACTCCTCAGATCGGAGGGAATCCCATGGTACTGCAGTGTGTGAACTCCAGCCATTTAATCAACCAGCTCCAAACACTGCTTATAGTTTGTCAATACCTTTCATCTACCCCAACTCTGATCCCTCTCTCTGCCTTTTCTTCTCCAAGTCTTTTAAACAAAAGCCCAGTCATCAAGTCAATTGACAACTCATTCCCACCTCACCTCATCTCCCACTCTTAGTGATTCTGTATAGAATTTCTGAGGAGTTGCTGGTGGGCTTGAACTGCTGACCTTGTGGTTAGCTGTCCAGTGCTTATCCTACTGCACCACAGTAGGACTCAGAGTTCCTGTCCTAGCATTTCAAGTGTACTGGATAACTTTGAACAAGTTATTTCTCCTCTTTGTGTTTGTTTCCTTATTTGACAGAGGAGGCCTCTGGCCCAGGTAGAAGCTGGGGGTCCCTTGTCCAGAGAATGAAAGGCACTGTGGAAGGGAACCAAGCCCTCAGGGTTGCCTCCTGCAGGGCCCCTCAGGCTGTACACTAGGCAATACCATCAAAGGTGAGACAGCCTAGAATTCCCAGTGTCAAGAGAAGGGGTAAACAAACGAGCGAGCGGAGGTAATTTCCCTCTCCCTTGGAAACAAAGCTGGGGTGGTCTGGAGAGGCGTGTGGTGAGAGCAGGGAGCGCCGGGTGGACATCAGCCAAGCAGGCCGAGATGATCATTTGCCTGCCCTGCAGGGAACATCTGAGGACACCGCGGCCAGATGTGTTGACTGCTCTGCACTCTCCCTGGTGTGATGAAACCCCCATCGAGTGCATTCCTTCATTACAGTCAGCCTGCCGAGGGGTGGACCCTGGCTGCTCAGTCTTCCGTCCAGTCTCAGGCGGTCACGGAGCACCACATCTCCTCTTATGGAAGAGCCAGAGCCTCTTCTGCCCTGTCAGCGGGAGCGCTTGCTGAATGCGCTCTTCCTCAGAGGCGCACTAAGGCCTGGGCCTAGCCTGCCGCCCCCTCCCCCTCAGGAATCGCCTACTTCCTTCCTCTATCACCACCTTCCATTCTCCACTGAAGAGCCCGCTATTGATCTTGGCCATTTCTCAAAGTCGCTGCACGGTAATTCCATCCTTGGCACAGACAGGTTTCCCAAGCCACATCTTCACTCCCTATCTGCCCAGTGCTTCTGGGCTTAAGAGTGCTACTACATCACACTTAGCCCCATGCCTAAGAAAGCAGACTTGGGGTCCCTGATGCTGAGTCAGGTGGTCTGTACATCCTGAAACTGGAACCTCCTGTGGGGGAGTTTCGTTTATACTTCTGTCATCAAAGTTGGGGAGGGAGATTCTTCCCCAGGCTCCCTCTGCCCCAACTGTAAACACCCAGAGGGCCAGGATCAACTCTGTTCACCCAACTGCCCACTCCAGGGCCTGGTGCCCCGCAGCACTGTCAGGCTGACCACTTTGTCCACTTATCATGCCGCTTGCAAGTCAGGGAGGATGCCTGGCTTCCTCTCTCTCTCCAGCGTGACCTCAAAAGCCAGAACCAACTGACCAGTTGGAGTCACATCAGCAGATGAATGCAGTGTCTGGGGACAAGGCATTGCAATTTCTTGGAATCAGTGGAGCCAAGGGATCTGCAGCCTGGGTAGGGCCACACCCCCCTTGCCTCATACCTTTCCCTCAGGTCCAGGGTGGAGACAGCTCTCAGGGCCGGTGAGGTTAGAGCTGAGTCAGGCCTGACCATGATTTCTCACAGGACCCCAGATGCCACTTGGCCTGTCCTCCTTCTGTATAAGGGAATGTTGTTGGGTTCTACTGGTTCCAATTCCTAGTGACCCCATGTGACAAAGCAGAGCTGCCCCAGAGGATTTCCTAGCTGGAATCTTTCGGGGAGCAGAGGCTGGGATTGCAGCACTGTCACCAGGGTTCCTTTCTCAGGGGTTGCTGGAAGGAATCGATGAGAAATCCTAGCAAGGCCTCTGAAAGCGTGAATGGAAGAAGTTATACGTGCCTATGCTCACAGGACTGAGGAATCCGGACAGTGATCCCCTGGTCATGTGCCAAGCCCTGGGGAAATGTGCGGTGTCCAGCCACTCTTGTGCACAAAACGGCAGGCCAGGGGACACCCCTCAAGTCCACCTCAGAAGTTAGAACAGAAACTCCTTTCCAAATTGAAACAGCTGGGGGGCGGGGGGAAAGGCAGGAGAGAGAGGAAAGTCAGCTACTGACTTTGTTTAACAGACATAATCCACAACAAACCCAAAATGAAAACAGTAATTTTAATTTTTGGAGACAATATAGTTTATAACATTAAAAAAAAAAATAGATCTCTTCATCCATCACCAGAAATTCAGATGGCAATTAGAGGGGATTTGATCCTTTGCCCTGGTGAGGGCTCGATGACACCCCCTCTTGGAGTGACTGTGGTAGCAGCAGGAGTGGTCCCGGGCAGGCCCCTCTCAGCCTCTCTGGAAAAGCCAGAAGCCACAGAGCGCTGGAGACCTGGCTGTCAGGCGCTAGCAGGCACATGGACCGTTTGCTCAGGTCTCTCCAGGCGCCTGGTTGGGGTGAGTGGGAGGAAGGCAGGGGAACACTGTTGTGGAACCATAAACGAGTGTCCTGGACTTGGGCCCTGAACCGCCCTATGTGGTGCAGGAGGGGCCCGAGAATAAAAATACAAACATAAAGGGGATACACTTAGGAGGGAGGGTGATGGACTCACTGTAACACCCCATGTCCTGGCGTGGCTGGGACAGAAACAAGGATTAAAAAACCCTGCTTTAAAGCTAATGGCATCCAAATGCGAAGAGCTGAAGGGGGCGTGTGGGGTGGGGAGGATGGGGCCTAGCCAGAAAGACTGCTGTGGAGATCCTGCCCAACAGTGTGTGTGGGCTCACCTAGTGACCCCAATTTTTTGTGGAAGCACCACAAAACCAGAACTAGGAAATCCAGACTGCCCTCTACTGGTCATTTCTGGGATGACAACACAGGCACACCCTGGGCTGACCAGGAGTGAGGTCCAGGTGTGACTGGGTGGGAGAGTGGGAGCATCCTGGTCAGAGGTCTGCAGGTTCCTCTCTTTAAGCCTGGCCTGCAGAGACGTTGGGGTCAGGGTAGCCTCTGTGCTCACTTCAAAGGCAAAGAGAAGAACTTGTTTCCGGACTTGCATCGGATCTGCTCAGCGTGTACACGCAGCAGCAGCTCCGAGTCTTCAAACTCATCCACGATTTCCTGAAACCAGGAGCCAAGAAAGCACAATCACATTACAGGAATCAGGGACCCCCGAGGACACTGCCAACAAAACCCTCCTTTGGGAATCGCACAGCTAGGCAAGGCTGAGGAGAGACCAAGGACCAAGTATGCTCCAGGCTCTGCACTTCGTAACCCTGTCCAATCTCAGGAGGTCTGTCCTAACCTCCCACCTTTACAGATGAGATGTCACAGAAACCACTACAACCAGGCTTGGCACCCACCCTGCCAGAGCCTGAGTTCAGACTGGGCGCAGAGGTGGCCACTTGTTGGTGGGTCCCTGGGCTGTCTCCAGTTTGCATGTTTCACTTTACTGCCAGATTAGTTACTGATATTTCAAAATAGACTGTTGTTGTTAAGTGCCATCGAGCGGGTTCCAACTCATAGCAACCCTGCATAGGGATTCTGAAGAGTGACTGATGAGTTTGAACCGCTGATCTTCCAGTCCAAAGTGGCCTTGTGGCCCAGTGCTTATCCTACGGCGCCACACCAGGACTCTGAAAACAGGTAGGCAACACATAAAAACATGGATTTCTAGCTTCTCATGGAAACAATTAGGTCCACATTCCCAGAGTCCACATTGCTCCCCCAAGTGTCCCTGCCAGGAGGAGCTTCAAGTACCACTCAGGGCTGCTCCTGTACTGCTGTTCTCAAGTGAAGGCACTGCCAGGGCAGAGGCTGAACTCATTTTGTTTCCAAGTACAAGACAGGTGTCAAGGGCGGTGCATTTCACCTGTTTCTAATCCCTGCCAGACCCCCGTGGGCACCCAAGGCTTCTACCTCGGCTGACAGACCAGGACTCTGGGGAGGCCTGCAGTACTTAGGTTCTAGGGTATTGCTTCTCTGCCGGGAGGCTGGTTCTGATGCCTTGGGTCTGGATGGCTAACACACTCTCAGGTGATACTGACGTTTCGGGTCTGGGACTACAAACCTATCAGCTTCTTCTTCCTTAACAAGCACCCATCACTACTGGAATCTAAGCACCCTCACTGGGACGTCACCTGGAGTTCCTGCAGGCACTGCCCTTCCAGCTGGACACGTGCATCGCCCACACACCAGGCCAGACTGACATGGAACGAAGGCTCCTGGCGAGGAAGAGGGGCAGGCTGTGACAGAGCTGTCATGCCGAGACGGCTGCTCCACAGTCAACTCGCCCCTTGCCCCCTCCCGCCCCAGCATTTCCACACCCTCCACAGACAGTGGCATTCCTTTCATTATCATGGAGTGAGCCATTACAGTTGGGGACACAGAAGAGAACCCAGGCTCTGACTCTTGTTGATTTCAAACATTGTAACAGATGCCCTATTTCTCAAGAGACCCAATGTACAGTAGAAGGAAACACTGCCCAGTCCTGTGCTGTCTTCACAATCTTTCCTATCTCAAGACTAAATGAAAAACAAAACTGTCTCAAATGATGAGGAAATGCTCATTATGTCCATTCAAGCTCCAGTTTGCTGTTGTTAGGCGCTGCTGTGTTGGTTCTAACTCGCAGTGACCGTCGGGTCCTGCGCCAGCCTCACAGCTGTTATGCTTGAGGCCATTGTTGCTGACACACCTTTACTGAAAAAAAGCCTTGACAATCAACTTGGGAATCCAAATACGTAAGAGGGCATTTGGCAAGCCACTGGTGGGAAGGTACCCGAAGCTACAATTCTTCCCGAGAGTCCATTTCATTAAAGAATAATGGCCTAAGCTACTCTTTACTGAACAGAAAAACCACCATGAATACAAGGAATAGGACATACACATTCTGTACATGTCAAACACAAGATTCCTAAGAAATGTGAAGACTTTAGGTGGTCTACACCAGAGCACACTTGAACCCCTCAACTCCCCAGGGGCTGTGCCCTCAAAGTATGCATTCAAAACACTTCCTGTGGGGATAGTTCTTGAGGCTTTTTCAGTTTGCCTTAGGGGCTTCAGGATGGTTTTACTCCAGCTATATATAGACAGGTCAGTGGAGAAGAGACTGCCCTGTTCCTTACCTGGTAGAAAGTGGTTAGGTCGAATTCCTCCATGACTCTGTCCACCTCTGAAATCAGGTTCAGGAACTGGGCATGCCCTGAGGTAACCTCAAGGCCAACGAAGGTCCTGGGGGACGCCGAAGTGGAGGTAACAAAGACATGAGACACAGCCTCTGAGAACACAAACCATCAGGCAGGGGGCAGAGGAGGTGACAAGACACCTAGAAGTCTGGGTGGTGAGTTTGGACCTCCCGCCCTCTCTGGGAAGTGCACTTTACCATTCCAGAACCAGCTCTTTTTTCTGTTCTTTGGGGTAAAAGCTCCAATTTCCTCATATCATCACCAAGATTGGCTACATTTTGTGTTTTATTTTTTTTAAGTGTAATGTTATTTTGTTGTTGCTGTTGAGAATATATAAGGAGTTCTGGTGACGCCGTAGCATACAGCTGCTAAGTGCCAGGTCAGTGGTTCAAAACCACTAGCCACTCCTTGAGAGAAAGATGAGGCCGTCTGCTCCTGTAAACATCTGCAGCCTCGAAAACCCTATATAGAATCATTATGAGTCAGAATGGACTCCATGGCAATGAGTTTGGGTGAAAACATACTCCAATCCAACAGTTCCTCCGTGCACAGTTCAAAGGCACCGAGGTGCACGTCCCCCTTGCCCTTCCTTTCTGAATGGTTCCTCCTCCATCCACATTAACTCACGGCCCGATGAGCCTGGCTGTTGGCAATCTGATCCCGTATGATGTTGCTGCTAAGTGCCAGTGAGTTGGTTCTGACTCATAGTGACCCTGTGGTAGGGTTTCCAAGGAGTGGCTAGTGGGTTTGAACCACTGACCTTGTGGTTAGTAGTCCAGCGCTTATCCTGAGTATTGCATCAGAACTTCTGATCCCATATATATAGTTCTTAAGAGCGTAAATGGTGGCAGGAGATGGAGCTCAGTCCCCAGCCCTTACCTTCTCCATCTATACTTGGTTGTATACTGACCTTAACCAGTCCCCACCTTAAATACCACATAGACCAATGACTCCCCAAATTCTGCCTCTGGCTGGCACCTCTCCTGTATATCTAATTGCGTATATGACATTTCCATCTGGGACTCTGATGTTTCCTAACTGGGGTCTAATGTACAAGGCAGAGCTTTTCCTTTTTATTCCACTAGTGTGAAAATGGGGCCAGTGGTCATCTACTTGTTCAAACTAGAAACCCAAAATCTCCCGCCCAAGTCCAAACCATTGTTAATACCGGTTGATTCTACCCCCAGTACATCTCCAGCATGTCTACTTTTTGGCTACTCCATTGCCACCCCCCCCAATCCAGGCCCCCAGGGGTCCCTGACCCGGACAATAAGAAGCACTTCCTCACTCATCTCCCTGGCTCTTCATCTGCTTTCTTACATGGCTCCTCCAGACTTGCTAGCCACAGCCACAGACACAATCTAGCCAGATGGAAAATGTGCAAACTTCAATCTGATCAGGTCTCGTTTTTGCACTACTACATGGAGAGTCTAAACTTGAAACCTTGGTCTCGAAGGCGCTACAGGAACTCACCCTGCCCACCACACCTCCTGCCACTCTGGGGCCAGGCACTGCTCCCTGGAACATGCCAAGCTCTAGTTCCTTCTCTGATGTGTCTGTCCTCTGCTTGGAGAGCTACTACAGCAGCCCTTCCCAAGGCTGCTCCCTCCCAGACTCAGGCTGTCACCAAATGCCACTTTCTGCTGTCTTCCTTGGCTGCCTGCTTCTATTCAAGCATTCTGGCACTGTAAGGGTCCCACTTACTTGTTTATGAGGGGGCTTCAAAAGTCCATGGAAAAATTCCACCATCTTCTCATTCCATTTTTCCATGGGTTTTTGAAGACCTCTTGTATTAACTGTCTCCCCTCAGACTGTAAGGTCCCTCAGAGCAGGGATCCGTGCCTCACTCACTGCTGAATCTCGAGTGCACACATGCCTGGCACAGAGGCGGTGCTTCATAGAGTGTGTGCAGAATCAAATGAGTGAAGGAATGAGCCCTCCTTTCTGGGGTGCTGGAGCCCAGGGGGTACATCCAACAGACAGGGGCTCACTCTGAAGTACCGACACTAGCAATTCCTTCTTAAGGTCTTCCAATACTTTAGTACTTTTAACTTTCCAAATTTTGCCCAGCTCATCTGAGCCTCATCTTTCGGTGCTCAATGACTGAAGGGGTGGCATATGATGGTGTGGAACTGGAAGGCCAGGGGAGAGAAGAGATGAGTCAACGTCACACTGGGGCAGAGCTGCGGCAGAACAGCTTCTCTGACTTTTGGTCCCAGCAGTTCTCCCCACCACTTGCCCCCATTACCAAGATCGAGTCCTGTTGTGGAACTGGAAGACAAGCACTGGACTGCTAACCACTAGGTCAATGGTTCAAACCCCCAGTCACTCCTTGGAAACCCTACCACAGGGTCACTATGAGTCAAAACCAACTCATTGGCACTTAGCAGCAACATCATATGGGATCAGATTGCCAACAGCCAGGCTCATCGGGCCATGAGTTAATGTGGATGGAGGAGGAACCATTCAGAAAGGAAGGGCAAGGGGGACGTGCACCTCGGTGCCTTTGAACTGTGCACGGAGGAACTTAACAGCAACAACATGCCAAGATGGTTTTCCCAACTGCTGCCTCCCCCAGAAACCTCCCCACTGCTTTTTCTTAATGAAAGAAAGAGTTCAGATTTGGGAACAGCTTCCTTTGTAATCATGTTGGTTCTGACCCACAGCAACCCTATAGCAAAGATAAGAACGGCCTCATAGGGTCTCCAAAGCTCTAAACCTTATGGAAGAACCCTGTGGGCACAGTGGATGCTAACCCAAAGGGTGGTGATTTGAACCCACCAGCCTCTATGCAAGATAAAGCTGTGGCCATCTGCTTCCTAAACAAACCTCACAGCCCAGTCTACTGCTTCCTATGGAGCCAGACTGGCTTTATGGGAGGAGGCGTGATTTTTTCTATTTCAGTCTTTCAGGAATCAGCTGGAAGGTCTTTAGCTGCTGGTGGTTTTGAATCGCTGACCTCCTGGTTGTCATGTGAGCGCTTAGCCATTCTGCCACCAGGGTTCCTTTCTGCAGTCAGAATCGATAAAGTGACAAGTGACGCAGAAACAAAGAGCGGGGCCAGGCACCATCAGGAGCAAAGCAGCTCCCTGGCCTCAATCTTTGCACTAAGGAATCTTCTATTGGAAGTGATGGGAGCGGGGAGGTGTAGGAGATTGGGAGAATACCCACCTGGTTTTCTCTTGATTCGTATAAATCTTTACCCGGTTGGCAGTAAAGAAGAATCTGAAAGTTAGAAGGAAAAGGATCACAATTCAGGAAGGTTAATAATAATACTTTTTTAAAAAAAAATCACAGAAAATTGTTTATGTTAATAGAACTTTGAAAAGATAGTTAATTCTCATTTCATACTCAGTTGTCACCATAGTAAACTGAGGCAAAGAAAGAAAACCCTAAAATATCAAAGCTGGACAAGACCTTAAAACAACCCATTCCAGACACCATACAGCACCATCCAGATGCTACTTAGGTAATTCTACTACTAATTCATGCTACTAAGCAACTGCAGATGATCTCAGCTTTATTGATGGAAACGAGAAACTCTTATTCATCAAGGAGGTGCTGAGAGCACTTTTAGGGCCAGTTTCCTCCTTGCAGACAAACGTGATCTAATGGAAACACTAACAGGAACATTCCCCAGGTCCTAGGGCTATGCTGAGGGTTTTGTGCGCATTGGTTCGTGGAATCCTCATATAATTCTGTGAGGTGGGCATTAAAACTTATGCCCATGTTACAGAAAGGAAACAGAAGCTTGGTGAGGTTGACTACCTTGCCCACAGTTACCTAGCTGGTAAGGCAGAGAGCCAGGATCTGAACCTTTAGTCAGCCCAATTCCAAAGTTCCTTCAACGCTTTAGTTGAGTGAGGCGAGGTGGGTCTCTTGATGACCTGCCTTGTCATTGTGCTGAAAGTCAAACCTGTACTACAGAGGGTGGGTGAGGTGCGAGACGGTGACAGTCAGATGCCATCTGATACCTTCTAGGCACCTGAACCTACCCAGGGAGAAGCCACTGCTATGTCTGAATGACAGTTTTGGTGACACAATCTATCAAATTTCCCCTTTGGTTTGAACCACTAGAGTTGGGTTCCAGGCACTTTCTCTGAGGAGTCCTGGCTAATATACACCTGCTCTGACTGAGACAACCCAAAACAGGGAGTGGGGACTAGACTCGGTCTGGAGGTCAGTTTGAATCTTTAGTCTCTGGCTGACTAACTGAAAAGGGGCAAGCCTCCCTCCTCTGGCCCTCAGGCGTCAGAAGAAATCTGTAGTTTTCCAATTGAACAGAGTAGCTCTATGGAGTTTGTAGGGTCCAAGGTCTCCTGGTGTGGCACGGTTGGATCAGCACAGGACCACAAGGTCGGCAGTTTAAATCCACCAGCTGCACAGGGTTGCTATGAAACCGACTTGCTGGCACTTAAGTTCAACAAAGGTCTCCCACAAGGGTAGGGCATCGGCTGGAAGCTCTTTTTATCTGCCTTACACATTGGGCTTTTGCACAACGTCTCCTTTTTTAATGTTTTATTGTGAATTATATGATAGTTTACATGGGGAACATTAGTTTTACATTTATTCTATCGTATATCGTTTCATTGCCTTGGTTACAATCCTCTCCATGCGTCATCAGCCAATCAAAGGGTACACACTGCAAGCCTGCCCCCTATACTAGCTGCCCCCGCCCCCCCAGTCATTCTCCCTCTCTGGATCTAAAGTCCCCAGCTGCTCCATCTCTCCACGTCATCGTCTCTGCCTCCATCTAGGGCATCACTGCTCCTCTGGGTAGGGTCCCACTCTCGGCTCTTCTTCATTGATGGTCCTAGGGACCTTGGCTCCTAGACTGGAAAGTTAATCACTCCCTTCCTTGCTATAAACGTCTACCTTTATATTTCCAACCCTCACAATCAGTCCTGATAACAATTATTCACTATTGTATTACAGGAGACCCATCTGCATTTCAATGCATCAGCTCCGCCTAGACAGATTGGATAGTACTCACTGTAGATTCTGCCTTCCTCCAGGGCCCCTGGCTCTAGGTTCCCTCTTGAAAGCTTGTAAGCCAGTTACTTATTGCCTTTGTAGCTCCACACCCCCCCACCACCACCATTTTGGGTAGCCAATGTCCAAGTTGCCCATCCCTGTCTACTCTGTGTGTGGAGGGGGTGAGAATGATTCTTGCTGTAAGGATTTGTTCCCTCTTTTGAGTTACTGCACCCGTAGGTGTAGGTCAAATTCATCAAATTGTATCAGATTACTCTTTTTTTTCCTCTTCTTTCTTCTTCTGGTTGAGCTCTGATCATCCAGTCATTGAAGTCAGGTCAAGTGGGTATTATCTGCAAGTGTGGGTGTTCTTGTGCATATACCCTCTCTTTTTGTCAGCTGCATACTTCACCCTTCACATTGTAGGACTTAGCTCGCCACTTCATTGCTGTTTTTCTCTCATTTCCCCTTATCGGTGAGGAGCGTGGTTCACCAATCAGAGCGTGTATTCCCATTGAGTCTTATTCTTGGAAGGGGGTTTGCACTGAGGGGATCCGACCACTTGCCTTGATGTTTCCTGGGCAAGCGACTTGTTTGTTCTTGTAGTAACCGTCCATCTGCCTCTAATGTTTTGTATTTTTCCTGTAGGTCTTTCTTTCAAGAAGTATCTTCTGTTCTTCTAGCTGCTCCAGGCTGGTCTTCTCGTCCTTTCAAGTGGAAATTTCCCATTTCTGGAGATCTGGATGTGGTTCAGGCTTCTACCTATAGTTTTATGTCAACGTCTCCTTTTAAGAAAGGGTTCCACAGATCAAATCAGACAGAGAAAACCACTGCCTGGTGACCTCTTAGACTCCTTCCAGGGCCAAGATTCAGAGAGCATGGGAGGCTCTAAAGAGAGTGTTCTCTGGACTCCTGCTCTACGGCTCAAGCAGCCACCAAACATCTATTTACTGCTGATGGTGAGCAAAGCACCTGGAAAAGGCTGTGCAGTGAGTCTGAGCAAAGCCACAGTCTAGGCCTCGGTGGACCTAGGCTCCAGGGGGGCACAGCTGGACCACGGGATGCTGCAGGGCAGGAGGAGCCCTGGTACTGAGGGCTTCTTGGGAGGCAACCATTGTGCAGAACCTCCATGAAAGGGCATGGTTTGATCTGGTCAAGCCTAGTCGGAAAGGTGTTTCTGGTGGGAAGAAAAGCAACACACAGTTTTTATTTTGCTATTGTTAGGTGCCACCCAGTCACAGCCACCCGGTTCTGCACCATTCCCACAACTGTGGCTACGCCTGAGTCACTGTTGCAGCCACTGTGCCAACCCACTTCTTTTTTCCTGGTTCCTCCTGATAACATGTCCAAAGTATGTGAGATGAAAGATTCTATGGACAAAACATAGGAAGCATCAAAAGAAGATGGAAGGAATACAAAGAATCACTAAACAAAACAATTGGTTGATGTTCAATAATTTCAAGAGGTATATGATCAAGAACCCATAGTATTGAAGGAAGACATCCAAGCTGCATGAAGGCATTAACAAAAAACAAGGATCCAGGAATTGATGGACTACTAATGGAAATATTTCAATAAACTGATGCGGTGCTGAAAGTACTCACCATCTATGTCTAGAAATTGGAAGACAGCTACCTGGCTAACCAACTGGAAGAGATCCCTATTTATGCCCATTCCTAAGAAAGGTGACCCCACAGACTGCAGAAATTACTGAGCAATATTACTATCACATGCAAGTAAAATTTTACTCGAGGTAATTAAAAAATGATTGTAATAGCACCTCAGTAAGTAGCTGCCACAGATTCAGAAGAGGCCATGAAATGAGGGATATCATTACTGACGTCAGGTGGATCTTGGCAGAAAGCAGAGAATACCAGAAAGATGTTTGTGTTTTATTGACTATGCAAAGGTATTCAACTGTGTGGATCACGACAAAACAAGGGACAACTATGTGGTTTAGCATCTGGAAAAGTGTGCATCAGGGTGTATTCTTTCACTACATTGATTCAATCTGTATACTGAACAAATAATCTGAGAAGCTGGACTATTTGAAACAGAATGCTACATGAGGTTTGGAGGAAAACTCATTTATAACCTGAAGATGTAGATGACACAATCTTGCTTGCTGAAAGCAAAGAGGACTTGAAGCACTTGCTGGTGAAGATCAAAGTATGGGTTACAATTGAATGTAAAGAAAACAAATATCCCTACAACTGGCACTGGTAAACATCACGATAAAAAGAGAAAAGACTCAAATTGTCAAGGATTTCATTTTGCTAGAATCCACAATCAATATCGTGGAAAAATCAAACAATGTATATTGCACTGGGCAAATCTGCTGCACGAGAGCAGATTAAAGAGCAAAGATGTTACACTGAGGATTGAGATGTGCCTGACCCAAATCATGGTATTTTCAATTGCCTCATATGCATGTGAAAATTGGACAATGAATAAGGAAACTGAAGAAGAACTGAAGCATTTGAATTATGGTGTTGGCAAAGAATATTGAAAGTACCATGGAATGCTGGAACAAACATATCTGTTTTAGAAGACCTATAGCCAGAATGCTTCTTAGACGACACTATGGTGAGACTTCGTCTCTTGTACTTTGGACTGGTCTCTGGAGAAGGACATCATGCTTGGTAAAGGTTCAGCAAAAAAGAGGAAGAGCCCCCAAACAAGATGGACTGACACAGTGGCTGTGACAATGGACTAAAATATACAAAACTTGTGAGAATAACACAGGACTTGGCAGAATTTTGTTCTGTTGTACACAGGGACACTCTGACTTGGAGGTGACTTGGTGGTACCTAATGCTCAAGAGCAAGTTTCCGTCTCTTCTGGTATATATTTCTATCTTTTCTTTCTTTCCTGTCTTTTAAATGATCTTTTACTTTCTTCATGTCTGCTATCCTTAACGTCATCCTAAAACTCATCTGGTCTTTAGTCAAATGTATTTTTAAGACAGTTTCTAAATTCAGGTGGGATATATTCAAGGTTGTACTTTAGCACTCATGGACTTGTTTTACTTTTCTTCAGCTTCAACTTGAACTTTTCAGCTTCTGGCCTTGTTCTGACTTATAGAACTGATGATAGAGTTTCTCCACGGCCTCTTTCCACATACGTGTAGTGGTGGTGGTTGTGTACACCAAGTCGGTTCTGACTCATAGTGACCCTGTAAGGCTGTAAATCTTTATGGGAGCAGAAAGCCTCAACTTTCTCCTCTGGAGCAACTGGTAGATTCAAACTACTGATCTATGAGCTGGATTAGCAGCCCAGCTCGTAATCCAGTGAAGTCGATTAGATTTCTGAATATTGCATTGAACAAAGTCTTGCGTACAGTAGGCATTTATGCTGTTGAGAAAAGGTGTATTCCCAGTGAATAAGTTGTTGGTTTGCAAAATTCTGTCATATGATATACAGTGTTGTTTCTATGACCAAGGCCATATTTCCAACTTTTGTATTCTAATCACTAGTAATTATCAATTTCATTTCTCAGAAGTTGGTAAAGATCTTCAGTGTTTGGTATTAGTGGCTGGTGTGTAATTTGAGTAAAAGTACTAACTGGTCTTTTTTGTAGGCATATGAATATTATCTTCTCATTAATAGTATTGTACTTCAGAATAGATCTTGAAATGTGCTTACTGGCACGGCCATTCCTCTTTAAGACCATATGACTGTCCAATTCATAATGGCCAATACCAGTCCATTTCAGTTTACTAATGTCTGGGATATTGATATTTATGTGTTCCATTTCACTTCTGACGACTTTCAATTGTCTTAGATTCATAATTTTTACATTCCAACCTTCTGATTATTTATAGATATTTGCAGGTGTTTCTTCTCATTTGAATCATGCCACATCAGCCAAAGAAGTTTCCGGAAGCTTTACTCCATCCACATCATCACATCACGGTCAACTCTACTTTGAGGAGAGAGTTCTTCCCCAGCTATATTCTGAGTGCTTTCCAACTTGAGGGCTCAAGTTCCAGCACTGTATCAGACAAGGTTTTGTTGCTATTCATAAGATTTTCACTGGTCTAGCTTTTCAGAAGTGGATTGCCAGGTTCTTCTTCCTACTCTGTTCCTAGTTGGGAAGCCCACCATGGATGACCATGCAGCTATTTGAATACCAGTGACATTGCTTTCAGCATCACAGCAACACACGAACCACCATAGTACAACAAACCGACAACATGAGGTAATTAAAAGAAAAAATCAAAAGCCCAGGCTGGAGGATCAAACCAGAAGTGGGTCCACTTGTGACCCTGCCGTGAACTCCCCTTTGCCAGTACCACAGAGGGCATGCATGAGCTCATCTTACTGTCACAGCCTTGTCTGAGACAGCCGCCACCATGGTCACGACCTACCTGTATGCTGACTACTCGAGGTCACACAAGATGATGTGCCCTGCAGGCCGCTTCAGGAGCTGGCCTGCTTGCTGGGGTAATGAATCCTGCACCCAGACCCCAGAGAAGTCCAGCAGAGGAGCAGCGGGTAATGCCAGGCAGGGAAGCACTCACCTCTGGCAGGAGGCCACACGGTCTTTCAGGGACTGCACGAAGGGGACGATCCAATGGTGACGCAGAACCACACTCTGAGACAGGCTGAGATGGAACTCCTCCGTTCTCACCAGCCGGGGCACGTGGGTCTGGGCGTGGGGCAGCAGCATGTCAAGGAGGTCCAGGAAGTCCTCCCCGGCTTCATCTGGAAAAGAGTGAAGACATAGGCTGTTCTCTTTGCCAAGGAGGCATGGCTGAATGAAGACGCCCAGCGGGCAGACAAGTTCTTCTGACACAGGGTTTGGGGAGAAAATCGCTTTGACAGCGGCCCACAACCGTGTCTTCTAAGCACACTTTTGTATGAAGCTCTGGTTATAGAAGTAACAATTGCTCACTGTGAAAGAATCCGAGTGAACAAAATCAATGTATAAAGGAGAAAGCAGGGGCACCTGAAAGCCCATCACTAACAGCAGATCAAAGGATTTGATCACATTAATAAAACAAGTTTGAACACATTTTCCATAAATGTGCATTTATTTATACACTACAAAGTGTATGCTACTCTCTGAACTTAATGTGCTACACAATGTAAGTTAAGATAAAAATAAGTACATGAAAAAGTTCTATTGCTTTACTTCTTATACACACCCCACTTTCCAGACCACCACTCTAGAGATAATGACTGGCAAACATGATGCATCTTTTCCCAGCTCATTCTCTGTGCGTATGCTAATGAACAGATCATGTTTAAACAAGGCAAGAGCATACGACTCAAATTCTCTGCAACTAGGTTTCTTCACATAAAACAACATGGTGGACACCCTTCCACATATGTACAGAGTTCAAACTCCTTTGTTTACAGTTCCATGTTGTTGCTGTTGGATGCTATTGAGAGGACATCAATGCATGGTGACACCAGATGAGAGAGTAGAACTGCCTCTAGGGTATCGAGGCTGTCATCTGTACGGGAAAGGAACCCTGGTGGCACAGTGGGGCAGTGTTTGACTGCTGATGAGAAGGTTGGCAGGAGGAACTCACTAGTTGCTCTTTAGGAGAAGGCTGAGACCATGGGCTTCTGTACAGACGACAGCCTATGGGGCAGTTCTATTCTGTGCTCCAGGGTCACTGTGAGTGGGAATTGGCTCCATGGCAATGGGTAATCTATACGGGAGCAAAGTGTCAGGTGGATTCAAACCACCAACCTTTTAGCTAGCATCCACGGGCTTAACCATTGGGTCACTGGTGTCTCTACAGCGCCACAGTAATCTACTAAGGCTCCCTACAGCTCTTGCCTCCAAACACTATTGATAATCGACAATTAGGCTGCTCCAAATTGCCACACAAAGAACATTACAACGACCAGACTTGTAGCTTCACATATTCTTTTTCACCAAGCATGGGATTAGAGTTGCATAGTTAAAAGTCTTTTCATGCCCAGTATTATATTCAAGGGAGACCAGTGACTCTCTCTATACAATAAGCATTGGATTACAAACCACAAGGTCAACCGTCTGAGCCCCCAGTTTCTCCATGGGAGAAAAGATGAGGCGTTCTGCTTCCACAAAGATGTACAGCACTAGAAACCCTATACAGGGTTTCTATGGGTCAGAACTGATTCGACGGCAATTCACAACAATCTTACTCAACATTTGCCCACCTGCCCTGGTGAATTAGCAGCACAGAGAACCATCCCCATTTTACTGATGGGGAAATGAAGTCTCGGATCATTTACTTGACAAGAGCCACTGCTCATGTACTGTGTTAGAATCTGCATCAGTTATCTAATGTTAACAGCAGCATCTAAACAAACTGTCACAACCTTGAGGAGTTGGGTCTTATGGGTCGTCCCCAGGTGACAAACAATTTCTGTTCCTGTGTCTAAGAATTTGTAGGTAATTTGGAACCAGTGCATAAGGCTCTTATTTAGCATTATGTAAGTGTAAGAAAAGGTTAGAAATCTTTTCAATGATTTAAAAGCTGCAAATGCAGTGAGAAGATTATTATGATAAAGCATTTATTGTGAATCATTTCAAAGGGAGAGCAGATTTACATACTACTAAAGGGCAAATGGGAGTCAGGTTTGTTAAATCCGAGGATTCTAAGTCACAACCAATAGGACAGGCATATTATTGTTCCCATTTTAGAAATGAGGAAACCAAGATTCTGAGAAACCTGGAACTTGCCAACTGGCATCCAGAGTACTGGGTAGTGGAGTGACGTCTGACTTTGAAACCTAGGGATTTTCTGCCTGCCACACACTGGTGGCAGGGCTGGTGTAGGATTCGAACTCAGCACACCTAAAGCCTAATTAGAAATAAAATGCCAGCAGCATGTCACCCTCAGGAATAATAAAAAATTTTAAGGCTCAGGATTCAAAACTGAAATCAAGCCTACATATATATCCTCACCTCTAAAATTTTATATCTCATTGCCTAGCTCTTGATACACGTCTCTTCCTGCTGAGCTGGTCCTCTTATGTCGGAGGTTTTGGGCTGATTCCTTTTCTCAAGAAACTCCTAATCATCTGAAGCATTGCTTGCCTGTCACACGTTACTCACATGGCATATAAACATGAGTGGCCCAGTTGCCCCGCTCGTGGGGGAAGGTGCGCACCCGGCCCCCGTGTCTTGCACTATTGTCCTCAGGTCCCTCCTCAGAGTCTGGGAACATGCTCAGCACACTGTCGGGCACTGGCAACCTCTCGCTGGGAAGCAGGGTCTGGCCACTGCAACTGAAGAAGAGAAAATGAGTACATTTATCATCCTAGACTTTTCTTCATCTGTACATGCAATAAAACTTATAACCCCTTACACATGCTAGAAGGAGCCCTGGTGGTGCGGCGGTTAAGCACTTGCCTGCTAACCTAAATACTGGCGGTTCAACCCCACCAAGCACTCCATGGGAGGAAGCTGTATCAGTCTGCTTCTGTGAAGAATTACAGCCCTGGACGCCCCGTGGAACGCGGCCATAAAGGGTCACTATGACTCGAAATTGACTCAGTGGCAATCGGCTTGGTTTGGGGTTTTACTTCAAGTAGTTTCTGGTTGTTGTTAGGTTTGGTCCAAGTCTATTTCTATTCACAGTGACCCTATGTGACAAAGAATTTCTAGGTTGTAATCATTACAATACCATACATCTGTCACTTGTCACACTGTAATGGCTTGCATGTTGCTATGACTGGGGAAACTGTCTCCCCAAAGTAGAGTTGGCCTTAATGATATGGATGGAGCAACACTTTCGAGCCCTTCATTGGCTGATGGAGCACTACTCAAAATGACAGGAAGCAGCTGTAAACATCTATTAATAACTGGAACGTGGAATGTACAAGTATGAATCTAGGAAACTGGAAGTCAGCAAGCATGAGCTGAAAGAGACGGCTATTGGCCATTTTGAATTAGACAATCATAGGTTTCCTAGAGAAGCTAAAGCAGTTAGAAGAAACGAAGCAAAAGAGCTGAACAGAAAATGGAAAAGGACAGCTAGAAAAGACAAAGAATTATAATGAAATGTACAAAGAATTAGAGTTAGAACACCAAAAGGGAAGAACACACTCAGCATTTTTCAAGATGAAAGAACTGAAGGAAAAATGTAAGCCTCAACTTGCAATCGTGAAGGATTCTATGGGCACAGTATTGAATGATGCATCAAAAGAAGATGGAAGGCATATACAGGGTCACTGTGTTGAATGGAATTGGTCAACCATTTCAAGAGGTAGCATCTGATCAAGAACTGATGGCATTAAAAGATGAAATCCAAGCTGCACTGAAGGCATTGGTAATAAAATAAGGCTCCAGGAATTGAAGGAATACCAATAGACATGTTTCAACAAATGGATGCAGCACTGGCAGTGCTAAAGGATAGCACTGTAGACATCAAATGAATTTTGGCTGAAAACAGACAATATGAGAAAGATGATTACTTGTGCTTTACTGACTATGCAAAGGCATGCAACTGTGTAGATGATAACAAACTATGGATAACATTGTGAAAATGGGTATTCTAGAACACTTAAATTGTGCTCATGAAGAACCTATACATAGACAAGAGGCAGTCGTTTGTGAATTTGGAAAGGTGTGAGCCAAGGTTGTAAACTTTCACCATACTTAGTCAATTTGTATGCTGAACAAATAATCCAAGAAGCTAGATTATACGAAGAAAAATATGGCATCTCAATCAGAGGAAGACTCATTAACAACAATATGCAGATGACACAACCTTATTGCTGGAAGCAAAGACGATGACTTGAAAAACTTGCTGATAAAGATCAAAGAGTCAAGTCTTCAGTATGGATTTCACATCAATATAAAGAAAACAAAAATCTCCCCAACTGGACCAATAAATAACTTCATGATAAATGGACAAAAGAATGAAGTTGTCAAAGGCTTCATTTTGTCTGGATCCAACAAATCCAGTAAGGGTATGGAGAGACTAGGATGTCCTATACTGCAGGTGGGACTTTAAAATGGTACAACCACTGTGGAAAACAGTATGAAGCTTCCTCAAAAAGTTGGAAATAGAAGTTACATGTGACCCAACAATGCCTCTACTTGGTATACATTCTCAAGAAATGAGAGCCGTGGCATGTGGCACTACAGGATGATGCTCTGGACTGCAAGGTCAGTTTGAACCACAAGGTTGGCGGTTCAATCCAGCAGCCACTCCTACACAAGGTTGCTATGAGTCGGAACCGACTCGACGGCACTTAGCAACAACATGTTCATTGCAGTACTATTCACAATAGCAAAAAGATGGAGGCAGCCTAAATGCCTATCACAGAAGAATGAGCAAACAACCTTTGGTGCATACACACTATGGAATACTACACAATGTTGAAGAATAATATTCAATCTGCAAAATACATCTGAAGGTGGATGAAGCTGGACGTTGTGCTGAGTAAAATTAGTCAATCACAAAAGGACAAATATTGTATGAGATCACTAGTGTACAAAGGTAAGAAAAGGTTTTCTTGCTAAGAGCAAGATTCTGTGATGGCTGCCAGGGGTGGGAGAGAAGGGAAAATTATTCATGGGGTAGAGGGGAGACACATGTTAATTTGGGTGATGGAGAAGGCAATGTACAAAAAGAGGGAGGTTGGCATAGAGAAGATGAAGGTAGTGGAAGACACAGGGACAAGTGGTAAGTGCTAAAGTGAACAGAGATAAGTACTGTTAACTGATGGTAAATGGAGGGGATCGAAATCATTGTAATGACGTAACGTGTACGATTTCTTGAATGTGGGACTGATGATCTGGTCTATAAACCTTCACTCAACTTATAATAAAAAGTTTTTTTTAAAAAGGCAACTAGGAGGGCACGCAGCAGTCCTTAAACCTGGGCTCCTGGCAGTGGCTAGGATCAAGGGTAAGCAGAACATAGATGTTAGATAATGACAGCTGAGCCAAGGGTGATCAGGACCCAGGTTTTGAGACAATCTTTCACAGTTGAGAAAGGAGAATTTGGACATTGGAACTGAAGAAGAAGACAGCCCCTTGGAGCAAGATATATTGGCCACTGGAAGCCACATCAACTCCTGAGGCCTTTGCATGGCCTCTCCATCTGCTCAGTTACTGGAGGTAGAGAGTCCCAGGAAGGGGTCCAATGAGGAATGGAAAAGCTAGAAAGAGACACCATGGAAGAAGAGATGTTGGACCTGGTGAAGCTGATGCAACCTGTGCAGAATCGGCCCCTCAGGTCCAGTGGAATCTCAGACTGTTCCAGATGGAAGGACACTCAAGGACAATGAAGCCAATCACTTTGGATGATGTGACAGTGAAGTTCACCCAGGAAGAGGGGAACTGTGTGGATGCCAGCCAGAAGGCCCTATACAGAGATGTTATGTTGGAGACCTTTAAGCATCTGGCACCTGTAGTCAGAATCTTCCTGCCTAAAGAAGATCTGATCACCAAGGAAAAAGCAAAGGAACAGTGGAAACCAGACCATCATCCCTCAGATGGAGACTGCCTCCTCATAGAAGACAAGCAGTACGAGGAACCCCGAGAATGGAGACAGTGAGATAGGACTGAAGGGTCTACGAAGAAGACTACTTACTCAGCTCTTCAAGGAATTGCCCTTAAAACAGAGAAACAAATAGGTGAATGGTGGAAGATGACTGACCCCTCCCCCACATCTCCTTGTGGAGACCTATACTGACCCATCTTTCCCTCTCTAATAAAGGACCCCACAGATTTCAGCCTGCTTCCTGTACCACCACTCCACCTGCTAGTCTTGGATGTAGCCTGTTGTAGCAGACAGTCAAGGCAACCAGGGGTCCCAGAATTCGCACAATTACACACAGAGCGATCTTCCAGGGTGGAACTCTCAGAAAGTGGGGATCTGGAGCATTCACAGCAAAATAAACAAGATTAATGCTCCCCTTGATGCTCCTCCACCCTTTTTTTTATTATTAGGTTTCTTAACCTGGGGTCCAATAATACTAAAAGAATCTGTGGATAAAATCCAGGAATTCGATGAACTTGACTAAGTTCATGATGTTTTTACTAATCTCAAACTGTATTTAGCATCTTCTTTCATTTAAAAAAAGAGGAAGACTCCCAATGAGATGGATTGGCCAAGTGGCAGCATCGATGGACTCAAGCGTGGTAACGGTAGTGAGGTTGGCCCAGGATCGGGCAGTGTTTCATTCTGCTGTGCATAAGGTCACTATGGGTTGGTACCGACTCAATGGCACCTAACAACAACAATTAGACCTGCTGGAGTCCTGGTGTGGTGCTGTGGGCTAATGCGTTTGAACTACAAGGGCGGTGGTTCAAGTTCACCAGCTGCTCCTTGGAAACGCTATGGGTCAGAATCGACTCGACAGCACTTCACAACAATTAGAACTACTACTACATTTTGTTACATAATGTGTTCTTTCGTTATGTCAATATGCCATAAATGTGTTTGTGTTTTGATAACTATCTGTTGCATGTGTGCATTTTTCTGGCTTCACCAGATGGCTAAAGACAGTTGATGATTTCCTGCTATTAAAATCTGTCAAAACAAAGGTCCAGTTCCTCCCCTCTGGATATGCAAAAACAGTGTGCGTTTGCATGTGTGCATATAGGCCTACACACTAGCTCAGTGTCATAAACGTTAGGGTGCGATAGGTGTTGGGGGAACAGAGGAGGATTGCCTACGGCCTCCAGAGGGCTGGTTAGAACTGGGACCATTTGTGCTCCGTTGTTGAGTAGAATTGCCCCAAGGGGCTTTCTAGGCTGTAATTTTTATAGAAGCAGATCACCAGGTCCTCCCCGCTGTGGAGTAACTGGGTGGGTTTGAACAGCAATTTTTTGGTTAGCAGTCAAGTGCTGAACCATTTCATCCCAAGGGCTCCTATTCTGTGCTCTGTCTAATGAAATCTTATTAATTTCTGCAGCACTCATGCATTCATTTGCTCAACAAATGTTCAGGTGTCTGTCTGTTGCAGGCATTTTCCTTAGACACTGGGCAATCTGCAGTGAACAAAAAGGACAGAGACCATATATCCTTGCTTAGTACCATCGAGTCAGTTCCGATTCATTAACTTGGATCTACCGACCTAAACAAAATGGAGTCGGTTTAGTCATTAAGTCTTGATAAATGAGGACTCTGCAAATGAGGAAATTAGTTTAAAAATTAGCTAGGATGACCTCACAGAGAGCAGGATATGCTTAATAGTTATCAGACAGTTATCACTGAAACGGAGTAGATGAGACCCTAAAGGTAGAATGTTTTTTTTTTTCCTAAAGAGAGGATATTTAAAGAAGTTTATTACTTTTTCCAAAGAATGCTATCCTGATGTTAAAATAGATTAAGTATACATCCAAATGTAACAACACTATATAATGTGTCTGCTCTTTGTAAAGGACATAGACTATGGCTTTCTGTTAATAAAATTTGGATTGTATTTCTAAAAAAAAAAGCAACTATATATGTGGACCTCACCAGATTAAATATACAAGAATCAAATTGACTGCATCTTGGGAAGAAACAGTGGAAAAGTGCAATAGTATCAGCCAAAACAAGGCCAGGCACAGACTATGGAATAGACCATCAATTGCACGTTCAGGCTGAAACTGATGAAAATTAAAACAAATACACAAGTGTCAAAATAAGACTTTGAATATATCCCACTCGAATTTAGAGACCATCTCAAGAACAAACTTGAAACACTAGACACTGATGACCACAGACTAGATGATTTGTGGGATGGCATCAAGTACATCATACAGGAAAAAAGCAAAAAGTCATCAAAAGACAGGAAAGAAAGAAAAGACCAAAATGGATGTCAGATGTGACTCTGAAATTTGCTCTTAAGAGGCTAAAGTGAATGGAAGAAGTGAGGAAGCAAAAGAGCTTGTGGTGTAGTGAATGATCTAATGTCTCTTCCAGCCATAGTCAGTAACTTCCACCAAACAACAACAAAAAGTATCACAGTGCTTGTAACATAGTGTCATTTGAACACCAAACATGTCTCTTTGCTATGAGTTTGTTGTTGTAGTTAAGTGCCATTCAGTCAGCTCCGACCCAGAGCGACCCTGCATAGGGTTTCCAAGGAGCAGCTGGTGAACTTGAACCACTGACCTTGCAGTTCAAACGGCTTTCAGTCTGGCTCATTGAGCCACAGTGCCACACTAGTAAACTGCATACTTTGCTATTGTTATGTGCCGTGGAGTCAAGTCGGTTCCGACTCATTGCGACCCTGTACAGGGTTTCGGAGGCTGTAAATCTTTACGCGAGCAGAAAGCCTCCTCTTTCTCCCACAGAACAGCTGGTAGTTTCGAAATGCTGACCTTGAGGTTCACAGCCATTCTTAACCACTAGGCTACCAGAGCTCCTTAAAACTGTATACCAATTAAGGCTTTTCTCTTTCATTGTTACCTGGAGTGTTTGTTAATTGAACTCAATCACTCCAGGCATCAGACCACAGCTGTGAAGAAACACTATGGTAAGATCATCGGATATCCTGCTTACAAATAGCTCAGCAAGCATAGGGCCTGGTACTTGCAGCCTTAAGTGCTACAAAGAGGCACCAAGCCTGGCATAGAATCGTGCTCAATGAATAAATAGTTCTCCAGAACTAATTGGAGGAATAAATAGTTCTCCAGAAGCTTTGTTTTTGTTGTTGTTAAGTGCCACTGAGTTGGTTCAGACTCACAGTTAACCCTGTATAGGGTTTCCAAGGAGCAGATGGTGGGTTTGAACCGCTGACCTTACGGTTAGCAGTCGGGTGCTGATCCTACGTGCCACACAAGGACTCCTCCATAAGCTATTATTATGGAAGAACAATTGTGTTCAAATGAGGAAACAGACCTAGGACAGTGGGTGATGGAACGCAAGCTTGGAGATGGAGTGACGCCGAAAGGTAGAGCACGAACCTATGTTTCCTGTCGCCCAAGCTTGTCCTGGCCAAGTGGGGACACTCTGGGGCCTCAAAGGGGTGCCGTCTAGGTCATTCTTTACCTCTTCGACTCTTTTCCCGGTGGGCACCTTGCCCCCTAAATACGGAAAAACCCAGTCCCGGTCTGGAGCAAATTCACACCTTCCCTGAGAGATTTCCGTGGGTTCTTACCGAAGGCTGGCTCCAGCTCCAGGTCTGACCTGGTCCCCGGCCGGGGACTCGGCCTCATCCTCCGAGCTGCTGCTGTTGTAGCCCACAAGGGGCGCCGCACTCATGGAGGCTACACTGAGAAACCAGGGCCGGTCAGCCCACAACCTCACGCTGCACCGGAAGTACCCTCGCTAAGGCGTGGCTTGGGCTAGCACCTCCTCGGGGCGGGGCCAGGAGGGGGCGTGCCCGGACTGAGTAGGCGGGACCCGGCAAAACCGTAGTAGACACTGTGAAGTGAGACCACGCTGTGAACCTTCAGGCTACTTCTTGAGTAGCTTCCCGTGTCTTCTGGAATCTCCTAACCCTCATGTGCCCATTTCACAGATCGCTCTGAACTCTGCCCTCTCTGTCCACTGTCCTGTTTGTTGTTACTCGCGACTAGACGCCTTGCAGCACCGACTTTCCCGGGATTAGCGCATTAGATCGAGCAACGATTCCTGCCCTCGGGGCTCCGCCCAGTTGAGGTCATGGAGCCTCCTCCTCTAGCAAAGCTCAAGTCCCGAGCCCCGGGACTCTCTTCGCTAGGGGTTAAGCTGAGCGGTCAGAGGAGGACCCTCCTGTCAAGTGCAGTAATCGGGCCCTGGGCCAGACCACCGGACCTCTCTCCCCTAATAGCCAGAGACATGGTCGGAAGCGGAGCGCCTTCTCTTGTGGTCGGCTGAGGCTCGTCTACCAGTCCAACTGTAGGACCGACGCGCCCACCCTGCGTGTCCGCTCAGCTCTGCCGCAGGGTCCCCGACAGGGGGCGGCCTCGCTCCGCGCCGCCTGCCTCTCCCGCAGCCGCCGCAGCCGCCCGGGCTACTGCTCCTCCCCCGGCCCCGCCTCCCTGGCCCCCGCGTCTCCCGCCGGTCCGCCTGTCTCCGCAAGGCCGTCCATCCGTCCGCCCGCCCTCCCGGCGCTCCTCTACTCCGGCCCCGCCGCCCCGGCCGCGCGCGTCGCTTCCTCCGTCCGGGCCGCCGCTAACCCATTCCCCGCCCCCGGGCCGGCTGCCGCTGCTACGTGAGGCCGGGGATTGGCAGCGCGCGTAGGCCGCGCCGCCGCGGATGGAACCGGAATAAAGGGGCAGCCGTGAGAGCAGCCGGTTGCCGCCCGCACGCTCTCCCCGCGCCCGGTTCCACTGGCGGCCTGGAGCAGGTGAGCGGCTGGGCATCCGAAGCCGCAGCTGGGGGCCATCCCCGTGCCTGCCGCACCCCCTTCCTGGCGGGCCCGACCGCCCCCTCCACCTCCGAGTACGACCCGGTGGCCTCCTGAGCTTCTGGGCTACCCAGGCCCGGCCTCGGCGCGCAGCCGCTTTCTGGGCCCGGCCTGAGGCCCTGGGGCCTTCCTTGGAGGGTTGAAGCGGCTCGACCCGTCCCGGGCAGGGCTGACAGGAGGCAGCCCAGCTGGGCTGGGAGGGGAGGTGATCGTTTTTCAACTCAAGAAGGAGGAAGGGCTGGGGTGGGGCACAGGTGGGGGGCCTCCTTTCCCCTCCTCTCCTTTCCCTTCCGGGAGTGATCAGAGAGGCCTCCTAGCTGCACCTTCCTGGAGGAGGAGGGTCGGAGTGTTCAGTGGGGCTGAAGAGTCTCCTAGCCATTCATGCCTGAGAAAACAGTTGAATTGGCTCAGCCAGACCTGGAAGGTGCTCAGATCCTGAGGAGGCTTAGATAACGAGTGGTACCCACTTGCACTTGCAACCTGCTGCCTCCGCCCAGAGCAGCGGCTTTTTTCCTTCCTCTCTTCCGGGAAGATGCTGAGGATGACAGCTCTTAGCTTGACTCTTGGCCTTCTTTGGCAGAACACTAAGAGGCCAGGCTGTCCTGTGAAAGCATCATCTTCTTTCTTTTCATCTAAATAGAAAACTTAGAAACTTTTCAGTGTATGAGGCGGCAGATGAGTTGGGAACCTGGAAGTGGGTTGCATCTTACTCTAAAAGTTCCTCCCTCCTGCTGTCATTACCTTATGCTGCCACAAAGTGGTGAGTTAGAGATTTGCCTGGGCTAGGTCTACTTTACCTTCCACTGATTGCTCAGAACGTTCAGCCTTGGAGCAAAGGAAGAGGGTGGTTGTCTCAGGAAAGAGATGAGGAACAACACTCTGGGGCTAGCATGCTCCTTCCCACTTGTGGAGGCAAACCCAATGATGTTGCTTACATTTTCCTGCAGGCCTTGACACCATCAAAGAGATTCCAAGGATTTGGGACTTTTTTGCTGTTCTGGAACCTTAAGTGGACATGGAGGCTGTGAACCCCATCAGCCATTGATCCAGTTGCTTGCAAGGCCACCTGTTCCTATTATGTGGTCAGGGTGGATAGCCTGGGCATAATTGAGGGGTGTGGGCTGGTTCCTTAGAGGAGAAGGTTTTTGAAATGATCCTTGGTTCCATGTGTTGTTAGGTACCTTCATGTCTGCTCTGACTCATAGCTTCCTATACACAACAGAATAAAATGCTGCTGGATTCAGTGCCATCCTCACAATTGTTGTTATGTTTAAGTCCATTGTTGTAGCCTCTGTGTCAGTCCATCTCATTGGGGAGCCTTCCTCTTTTTCCATGACCTTCCACTTTACCAAGCATGATGTCAGTTTTCAGGAACTGGTCCCTCCTCATAAAATTCCAAGAAAGATTTGTTTGTTTTTCTGGCAGTCTAGGGCACTTTCATTATTCTTCGCCAACACTATAATTCAAATGCATCAATTCTTCTTCTGTCTTCATTATTCACTGTCCACTTTCCACATGCATATGAGGTGATACAAACTACTATGCCTTGGGTCAGGTGCACCTTAGTCCCCAAAGTGACATCTTTGCTCTTTAACACCTTAAAGAGGCCTTTTGCAGCAGATTTGCCTAATGCAATACATCTTGACTGCTGCTTCGAGGAACATTGATTGTGGATCCATGTAAAATGAAATCCTTGACAACTTCAATATTTCCTCCATTAATCGTGATGCTGTTTATTGGTCCAGCTGTGAGGATTTTTGTTTTCTGAAGTCTGTAGTCTTTGACCTTCATCAGTAGGTGCTGCAAGTCCTCTTTGTGTTCAGCAAGCAAGTTGTGTCATTTGCATAATGCAGGTTGTTAATGAGCCTTCCTCCAATCCTGATGTCCTGTTCTTCAGAGTCCAGCTTCTCAGATTATTTGCTCAGCTTACAGGTTGAAGAAGTGTAGTGAAGAAATAACAATCCTGATGCACACCTTTGCTGATTTTAACCACAAAGTATCCCTTTGTTCTGTTTGAATGACTGCTTCTTGGTTTATGGATAGGTTCCACATGAGCACAATTAAGTGCTCTGGAATTCCCTTTCTTCACAATGTTATCCATAGTTTGTTAAGATCCTTACAGTTGAATGGCTTTGTATAGTCCATAAAGTATAAGTACATCTGTCTTGTATTCTCTGCCTTCAGCCAAAATCCATCTGATGTCAGCAATGATACTCCTCTTCTGAATCCACCTTGAATTTCTGGCAGCTCCTTGTTGATGTATTGCTGCAACCATTTTTGAATTATCTTTAGCAAAAATTTTACTTGCATATGATAGTGATGATATTGTTAGATGATTTTCACATTCTGTAGGATTACCTTTGGATTGGGCACAAATATGGATCTTTTTGGTTGGTTGAGTAGCTGTCTTCCAAATTTCTTGGCATAAACTAGTGCGTACCTCCAGTGCTGCATCAGTTTGTTGAAACTTTTCAATTGCTATTCCATCATTCCTGGAACCTTGTTTTTCAATAATGCGTTCGGTGCAGCTTGCCCTTCTTCCCTTCAATACCATCAGTTCTTGATCATATGTTAACCTCTTGAAATGATTGAACGCCTACCAATTCTTTTTTGTATCATGACTGTGTATTCCTTCCATCTTATTTTATGCTTCCTGTAATATTCAACATTTTGCTTATAGAATCTTTCAATATTGCAAGTTGAGGCTTGAATTTTTTTCTTCAGTTCTTTTAGCTTGAGAAATGGTAGTTTTCCTAAATACTGACTGCCAGAGACAGTTTGCTATTGGGCCTCAGATCTGGTTCTTAGACCTACCAGGCCTCTGTGGTTCCCAGACCAGGTTGTCCTGAGTCAGGACTCAAGGCAGCAAGGGGGAAGACACTGCCAGGCCGAGGAGGGATCAACCACAGCCCATCTGCTTTTATCTTTTATATATTAGACTTCCAAGTAAGAATTTTCAAGCAAAACTTTTGTACTGCGGAAACGATAATTTTTAGATACGATGGATCGTGATTAGTGGCAGCAGAATTTGTGGCTTGTCTGTATTGTGGACTGGTCAGCCCAGTCTCTTACCTGTGAGACACTTGATTAAAGAGGGCTGGTGGAGCAATGGAGGGAACTCTGAAAGGGGGGTGGGGGTGGGGAGTGTCCAGGTCCCAGGACAGGAGACTTTGCCTAAAGGAACCGAGCCGATTTCTTTGATCATGTGTGAAGGGAACAGATGTTGCAGCTCTCCCAGTCCTGAGCATCTCTCCTGCCTCCATATGCAGTTGTGTCCACATGGTGGGTGTATACAAGCAGGGCAGGGCAGGGAGAGGGCTTATGCTTCCTACCTGATGCTCACCATGTCTCTCTTGTCCACAGAACTGATCATCAGGAGAGGCAGAGCCTCCCTGGCATGTTGGAACCCTGCCTCCAAGAGCCCTTGACCTATAGACAGAGCCTGAGAGTCTGACTTCTTGATCTATGAGTGGGTCTGTCTGACCTGTGCCTTGTCTGAGGTCCTTGCACAGCCCCCTGTCCGGGCAGCTTCTCTTTGGGTTGAATCACTTTAAGTGGGAAACTGAAGCCCTTACTCTCCAAACCCTGTTTCATCTTTCCAAGTATGTCAGAAAGCTGGCAGCAACCTCCACAGACGCAGCCGCAGCAGCCGCAGCCGCCGCAGCCGCAGCAGCATGCTGAGCCACCACCGGCCTTAGCTGAGCACACGCTGCCCACTGGCACGGCTGAGAACCCCTTGGGCTGCGCTGTCTATGGCATCCTTCTGCAACCCGACCCAGGCCTGCAACCCCCACAGCATGCGCCCTTGCAGGCAGCTGGTGAGCCAGGCCCCAAGTGTGGGGTGTGTGGACATGACCTGGCGCACCTGTCCAGCCCTCATGAGCACCAGTGCCTGGCCGGCCACGACCGCTCATTCCAGTGCACACAGTGTCTCAAGATCTTCCACCAGGCCACCGACCTCCTGGAACATCAGTGTATGCAGGCGGAACAGAAGCCTTTTGTCTGCGGCGTCTGCAAGATGGGCTTCTCGCTGCTCACCTCGCTGGCACAGCACCACAGCGCACACAGCGGTAGCGGGGGCCTGGTAAAATGTTCCATCTGCGAGAAGACCTACAAGCCAACAGAGGCGGTTGAGCCAGCGGCCACCACTGCCCCGTCACTGCCCCCACCACCCCCGGCACCTACCGTCACCACTGCTGAACAGACTGACAAGCCTTACAGCTGTCCCATCTGCCAAAAGCCCTTCAAACACCTGTCTGAGCTCTCGCGGCACGAGCGGATCCACACTGGCGAGAAGCCGTACAAGTGTACGCTGTGTGACAAGAGCTTCAGCCAGTCGTCACACCTGGTGCATCACAAGCGCACGCACAGCGCTGAGCGGCCCTACAAGTGCTCGGTCTGCGAGAAGACCTTCAAGCACCGCTCTCACCTGGTGCGTCACATGTATGCGCACTCGGGCGAGCACCACCTGTTCCGCTGTAATGTGTGTGAGCTGCACTTCAAGGAGTCCTCGGAGCTGCTGCAGCATCCGTGCACGCCAAGCGGGGAGCGGCCTTTCCGCTGCGGCGAGTGCCAGAAGGCCTTCAAGAGGCCATCGGACCTGCGTCAGCACGAGCGCACACACAGCGCTGAGCGGCCCTTCAAATGCGACCTGTGCCCCATGGGCTTCAAGCAACAGTACGCTCTGATGCGGCACAGGCGCACGCACAAGACTGAGGAACCCTTCAAGTGCGGCCTGTGCGAGAAGGGCTTCGGGCAGCCCAGTCACCTGCTCTACCATCAGCACGTGCACACTCTGGAGACGCTCTTCAAGTGCCCGGTGTGCCAGAAGGGCTTCGATCAGTCGGCCGAGCTGCTGCGGCACAAATGTCTGCCGGGCACGGCCGAGCGACCCTTCAAGTGCCCGGTGTGCAGTAAGGCCTACAAGCGAGCGTCTGCCCTGCAGAAACACCAGCTGGCCCACTGCGCAGCGGCAGAGAAGCCTCTACGCTGCACCCTGTGTGAGCGCCGCTTCTTCTCCTCATCTGAGTTTGTGCAGCATCGCTGCGACCCGGCCCGTGAGAAGCCGCTCAAGTGCCTGGACTGCGAGAAGCGTTTCAAATACGCCTCCGACCTGCAGCGGCACCGGCGGGTGCACACGGGTGAAAAGCCCTACAAGTGCCCCAACTGCGACAAGGCCTTCAAGCAGCGCGAGCACCTCAACAAGCACCAGGGTGTGCACGCACGTGAGCAGCAGTTCAAGTGCGTGTGGTGTGGCGAGCGCTTCCTGGACGTGGCCCTGCTGCAAGAGCACAGTGCACAACACAGCGCTGCTGCCACTGAGGGCACCTACCAGGTGGCTGCTTGCCTGCCCTGAGCCCGCACCCGCGCCGTGGACTCCCACCAGGCCCAGACTCTTGCCCAGCTTGGGGTTCCCAAGTCCCAGGCATGAGAGCAGAAAGGGCAGTGGGAAGGTGGAGGAGCTGATTGCTGGGCGCTCCTGTGCAGTGTGTGTGGCGGGGGAGGTGGCTAGATTGCTGTGGCTTGTCCTGACTCTGTAAGCCTTTCTTCCTATCACAGGATTAGTTTTCTTGAGGGGACCTGGAGCCAGGCTGGAAGTCAAGGGAGCTCTCCCCTTACCCCAAGGAAGGGCTGATGGCAGCCCAACCTTCCTTAGCCCTTTCAATCAGATTGGAAACCATCTAGGTTAGGAGCCTGAGAGAAGGGCCCAGACCCCAGAGGGCAGTCCAATGCCAGGCTAAAAGAAAGTACATAAACCGAACCTGCTGCCGTTGCGTTGAGTATGGTAACCCCATGTGTTACAGAGTAGAAGTGCTTCATAGGGGTTTCTTGGCTGTAATAGCACTGTAGAATAAGCACTGTACTGCTAACCTCAAGGTTGGCAATTCAAACCCATCAGTCGCTCCTCGGAAACCTTATCCTGGTCACTCTGAGTCAGAATCGACTGGATGGCACTTAACAACAAGAATCTTTATGAAAAGGCACTCTGGTGATATTGTGGGTTTGCGGGTTGGGTTGCTAATCTCAAGGTCAGCAGTTCAAATTCGCCAGCTGCTCCTTAGGAGAAAGATGAGACTTTCTGCTCCTGTAAAGACTTATAGCCTCAAGAACCCTCTACAGGGGCACTGTGGGCTCACTACCACCACCATCAGTCTTTATGGAAGCAGATCATCAGGGCATTCTTCTGTGGCACTACATGGTGGGGCTTAACTGCCAACCTTCAGGTTAATAGTGAAGTGCATACTGTGTGTGCCACTCAGGTACCTGAAATGTATGGTCTCCCCCATCAGATTGTTATTTGGGGAAGCAGGCCAGATTTGTGACTTGGTCATGGGACAGGAAGGTAGGCAGCGAGCCAGACTGTGTGTGTTTTCCCACCAGGGGCCAGATGTGAGGGGTGAAGTCTCAGGGTTGGGTCTACCTCGAGTGGCTGGCCAAGCCAGAGGGGCCCAGAGAAGTCCTTGACACTCTTGGCTGGGGACAGTGCTGTCCAGGGAAAGGAGCAAAGGCTGAGGGCGGCGTCTGCTGTTCTGGAAGCACTCCTCCCACTTTTGTGGCATGGTCAGCATCGTGGTGATGGGGAGTATGAACAGGGGATGTTAGTGCACCAAGAGCTAGGAGGAGGCAAGGACAATCCCAAGGGCTCCCCAGTGAATCGGCACAAGTGTCCTCCCCTGAATCGGATGAACCAAAGCCTCACAATTTGGCCAGGAACAACGTCTGTCTCCAGGTGCCCTTTTAGCTCATACATTTCCCCCTAACCTGTCAGTCTGGCTGCTGGCCTGGATTCCAGGGGTCTTGTGCTGACAGGAAGCCCAAGACAACATCCAGCTACTTTCAAGGCCAAAGCCTTCTCCCTTGGGTCTGCCTAGGATCTTCCTGCGTTCCTGACTACTCAGAGGGCTCAAGGAGCCTCAGGTGTCCAGGACTTAGGGATGGGCAGGAGCAGGTGATGGAGTAACTGCCATGCCCTCCACAAATTCACCTGGACAGGAAGCCCAGAAAAACCAAACTCAAACTTGTTACGGTCGAGTCAGTCTGTAGTGATGACCACATGTGTCCAGCTTACAGAGTAGACCTGCTCAGTGGGATTTTCTTAGCTGTAATTGGTATAGAAGGAGCTCTGGTAGTGTAGTGGTTACAAGTCGGACTGCTAACCTCAAGGTCAGCAGTTCAAAACTACCAGCCGTTCTGCAGTAGAAAGATGAGGCTTTCTGCTCCCGTAAAGCTTTACAGCCTTGGAAACCCTATGCAGGGTGGCTATGAGTCAGAACTGACTCCATGGCATACCACTACCACCATTACCAATCAGTATGGAGGAGTCCTGGTATGGTACTGTAGGATAAGCACTAGACTACAAGGTCAGTTTGAACTGCCAGGTGAGTGGTTCAAACTCACCAGCCACTCCTTGGAAACCCTATCCAAGGTCGCTACGAGTTGGAACCAACTCAACAGCACTTAACAACAACAACAACAAACAGTGTGGAAACAGTGCCAGGCCTTGCTTCTACCGCAATTCTAGGTGGGTTCGAATTGCCAACTTGTCAGTTAGTTGATCACATATGGTTTGTACTACACAGGTACCGTTCGGAAGCCCAAATGATACCTCTGTTAACCAAATGATTAATTTGAACCCAGGTCAGCTTCCTGCGCTCCCCAGCCCCACCTCTCCCTGGTCATGGGTCTTGAAAGACTTTCATCAGTGTACCTTGGGCCCAGAGGAGAGGAAGATGCCTGCCACTCTGCTTCATTCTCATAAAGCCTGAAACAACCACATCCGCCATCTCCAGCTGACTGGGTCCCCTCTTGTGTTTCTCCCCTCTTGGCACTGGCTCTTGGACATAATGCCTCAAGAGACATGGAACCCAAGCTGACAAAGCCCCACCTGCTCATTTTTTTTCTTTCATTTTGCTTTCTAAAAGCATTTTATTATATTATTCATGACATTGTATAGTTTAATTTCATGTCATTTTGGATCTTCTATAAAAATGAGAATTTGGATTTTTAAAAAAGAATGACTCCATTTTAGGTAGCCACTTTTGATGTTAATATATAGTGAGTCCAATGTATGCTTTAGAAGTAAAGACATTGACCTTCACAGACCAAAGCATGACTTATTCTGTTCCTTCTCCCACCGAGGGATGGGCCAGGGTAGGGACACAGGACTAGGTTTGAATCCTGAGCTTCAATTGTTCTAGTTGTGTTCTTACTGTTTTCAGGTGTGATCTAGTCAGCTCCAACTCACAGCGACCCTGTGCCCAACAGAATGAAACACTGCCCAGTCCTGAACCATCCTCACAGTCGTTATGAGCTTAAACCCATTGCTGCTGCCACTGTGCCAATCCATCTCAGGGGTCTTCGTTTTCCCTGACCCTCCACTTTTCCAAGCATGATGTCCTTCTCTAGGGACTGGTCCCTCCTGATAACATATCCAAAATATGAGAGATGAAGTGTAGCCATCCTGATTTCTATGGAACATTCTGTACTTCTTCCAATGCAGATTTGTTTGTTCTTCTGGCAGACCATGGTGCTTTGGGCAAATCACTTAATCTCTGAAACTCAGTTGCCTCATCTGTAAAATGGGCAGGTTAGCCCTTGCCTTACTTGGTTGCTGTGAGAATGAAATAGAATCATATATGGAGGCCTGGTAGCGTAGTGGTTACGAATCGGGCTGCGAACCTTAAGGTCAGCAGTCCGAAACTACCAGCCGCTCTGCGGGAGAAAGATGAGGCTTTCTGCTCTCGTAAAGATTTACAGCCTCGGAAACCCTATACAGGGTCGCTATGGGTCAGAACCGACTCAACAGCACATAACGACAACATGGAGGCCCTGCGGAGGAAGCTGTCTCACAGGAATGCTCCTCCCGCCTCTTGAGGTTTAATTGCAGCCCCAGAGAAGGGGGCCAGACTATACAAGTAGTGGTTGATGAGGGGCCAGAAGCTTGGGACTTGGGCCTGGTAAGCATGGGAATTTTCTCAACATTTTGGAGGGAGAGGCCTTCCTCTTCCTCTAAGACAGTCCCACTTCAGGGAACCACCTGCTCTTGCCCTATCGTTGCTCCCGCTCACCTGTTGCACACTACTCCACTGTATGCCCAGCCCACCCACCCTCACTTCAGGCCCTCCTAGTTGTTGTTAAGTGCCATCGAGTTGGTTCCAACTTATAGCCACCCTGTATAGGGTTTCCAAGGAGTGACTGGACAGTTTGAACCACTGACCTTGTGGTTCAAGTCAACCTTGTGACCCAGTGCTTTATCCTACAGTGCCACTCCAGGACTCCGGTCCCTCCTACCCTCCTTTTATTTGTACTCTCGCCACTGTCCCCAAGTGTCCCTTCTGTGTCTCAAAGATGAGGGTGGAGAGAAGAAATAACAACCCATATCCCAGATCTGAGCATCCAAGAGCCAGTGAGGGTGATCAGAAGGGCACCCTGCCCTGGGAGAGGGTTGGGGGAACAGAAAGCCAGGGGGACAAGCAACTGTCATTGCCCAGGGGCACAAAAACCAGGTGTCCATCTGTGGCGCAGACCACACACTCATTCCCTCTGTGGGTGGCCACAGCAGGACCCTGCCTTTAAGAAGCTGTGGACTTCCTTCCCACAGGGTGGTGGCCTGTGGGCTACTGCTCAGCAACTGGACCAGGGTTAGATCCTGGTCTCCTGGTTTTGCTACTGCTGTTTCTCTGCGGCTGCTTTTTGCCATCTCTGATATTATAACTCTGTCTCTTGGGTCTAGGAGGTTCTCATTGCAGGTCCAAAGGACATTCTTCACTCCTGGCTTTTCTTTCTTGAGGGTAGTGCAATCCTCTCTTCCTGCCTCTGGGATGGCTTATTTTAAGCATAACAAGATGGCAAAACAGACCAATCCCCTTGTTAGGTTCCATACACATTATCTACATGGTCCCACCCCTGAAAGGTTTCATACACTTTATTTGCAGACTGTCCAATCCACTTCGTAAGCCCCAAGCACCTTATTTTCATAGCGCCACCCAATCGTGTGGGAGGCGCAGACTACATACAGCTAGAAGGGCTATGTTAACCCACTGCACCTTGGGACCAAAGGGCTTGCCTAGTGTGTCCTTCATTAACTAGCTGAATTCTTAGTCTTTTAATGGAAAAATCAGTTGAAGCCCTTTGACATTGCTCCTTATGAGTGCCTCAACAGATATTAAGAATTCTATCTTTCCTGTCCAAGAATGCATTTATTCTGAAAGACTTACAAAGTAAATGTATTTGGTATAACTTATGGCTTCTTTTTAAAGCTAGCATAATAGAGCAAGTCTTTAATTGGTTTCTTATTATTTTGATCTTCAGTGTCTTACAAAAAATAGGAACTGTAAAGATTTCTTTTTTTTCTCAGTGGTCATTGTGTTGTTAAATTTTATAGCTTGTA